ACACCGAAAGAGTGATACAGCTCAAGGTACTGATGACTCTATTTAGTATCATAGCAAAAAAATTTCATATAGGCATAGAGGGTGGCTCTAGGCACAAATTCATTATCCCAAACCCTGAGAGTATGGACTGCCAGCACTGTATTTATGCTTTGATAGTCACTATATAAGTGTTTAAGAGGTACAAACAGATATCCTGGGTTTGAGTACCAGGTTCCTCCTCTATTTATTATTATTATGGCTTTGAGCAGCAGGTCACTAATCTTCGCTACGTCTTGGTTCCCTTTCCTAGAACATATAAACAGAAGGATGGCCTACTTCGTAAGGACTGAAGAAATCATCAAGGTAAAACATTGAATATTGTGCTGTTCACATAGCAAGCACATAATAAAAAGCAACTGTTATCTATTTTTGACATAAAAAGAAATCTCTGCACAATATTAAAAAGAGTAAAAGCAGATTTATCTTAAATTTGCGTTTTAAAAAATGAGTAAGTAGATTTAAACCATTAGAGCGGCTTCTTTGGAAGAGAGCTGCTTCATAAAAGCTACTTAGGTAAAAGACAAGTTAAAGTGAGACTGAAATTAAGGCAAAAGTTAAGAATATTAAAAATTATTTTCCAAAGTGTGTATAGTTGAATTGCTAATCCAAATATTTTTTAAAAATCAAACTTGGAATGTGTCTGTAGCTCTTACTGATTTTTGAAGTTAAATCAATCATTAAATAAATGAATTTGACCAAAATGAAATTTTTTAAAAAAAGCTACTTTGGAAGACATTTGTCTGCCTAGGCCCTCGCTTCTCTGTAGTGTCTGAAGGTTATTCCATTACAAGTTAGGGTTTTACTGCGACAACAACATAGATTATCTCTCAAAAATATCAATATTAAAATATTTAACTGATAATTACTCAATTATCACTATTGATCTTTGGACTAATATAGAAAAAGAAGTGAATTCTGTGTTTGAGTGTGACAAAAGTGGTTATCAAAACCATAATTTTTCTGGGGAGAATCAAGTAAAAAAATTTTTAAAGTGTTTTAAGAGCTAAGAAATCTGAAGAACAACCACTTGGCTAACTGACTGGAAGAGATCCATATTTATTTCCATTTCAAAAAAAGTGACCCTACAGAGTGTGGAAATTATCAAACAATATCACTAATATCACACACTAGCAAAATCCTCCTAAAGATTATCCAGAAAAGACCAGAAATACAGGCTGAGTTTAGAAGAGGTCATGACACTAGGAACATTATTGCCATTGTCAGATATATCTTGGCAGAAAGCAGAGAGTACCAGAAGGATGTCTATCTGTGTTTCATTGACTATGTAAAGGCATTTGACCGAGTAGATCACAATAAATTGTGGCTAACCTTGAGGGAAATGGGAATCTCAGAACCCTTGATTATGCTTATATGAAACCTGTACTTGGGCCAAGAAGTAGTCCTCAGAACAGAGCAAGGAAACATGGCATGGTTCAAAATCAGAAAAGGAGTGCATCAGAGATGCATTCTGTCTCCACACCTTTTCAATCTGTATGCAGAACTGATCTTTCAGGAAGCAGGGCTTTATGAGGAGGAGTGTGGCATCGAGATTGGAGGAAGACTCAGTAGCAACCTACGATATGCAGATGACACACCTTGCTTCCTGAAACTGAAGAAGAACTGAAGCACTTGCTAAAAAAGGTCAAGGATGTAGTCTTCAGTATGAGTTGAAGCTCAACATCAAGAAGACAAAGATTCTCACCACTGGACATATCATATCATATCATATCATATCATATCATATCATATCATATCATAATTAGATAGAGACGAGATTGAGGTTGTTAGCAATTACATCTTGCTCGGATCCATAATCAACACTCTTAATACCAGCAGTCAGGAAATCAAAAGACAAATTGCATTGGGAAAATCTGTCATGGACTTCTCAGGAGTGCTGAAGGGCAATGATATAAGTCTAGATACAAAGGGGCACCTAATCCAAGCCATGGTTTTCTCAATTAGTTGTTATGCTTCAGAGAGTTGGACAATGACTAAGGATGACAAAAGAAGAATAGATGCCTTCGAGCTGTAGTGCTAGAGAGGAGTCTTGAACATACCACGGACTGCCAAGAAAGCAAATAGGTCTGTCTTGGAGAGGGTGAAATCAAGTTTCTCCTTGGAGACTAGGACTTTGAAGCTCCACTTCACTTACTTTGGTCCATAACCAGGAGAGATTGGTCCTTTGAGAAGGACATCATGCTCAGGAAGGTTGACAGCGCAGGAGAGGGAAACTCCAGATGAGATGGATTGATACAGTAACGGGGGCAATGGGGGTTGGTGTGTCAGAATTAGTGAGACTGGCTCAGGACAGAGAAGGGTTCTGAGCTGTTGTACATAGGGTCTCTATACATCACAGGTGACCCAATGGCACATAACAACAATAATATACTATGACAGGTTTGGAAGCAGGAGTGGTCTAATTCTAAGTAACATGTCTCAGAATCTCTATGAACTTTGATAAATGTCTATAGTTGTAGAGGGGCTTTAGGCCTTTTGTTCATAGGGTCACTATAAGTGGTGCTCGACTAGAAGTCAATCAACAACAACAACAACAACAACAACAACAACAAAGAGAGTTTCAAGGGTTGACTTCTCCTGAAAACATGCCCCAAATTTAAGATATGAAGATATCCAATAATGCTCTGTTATTTGTAGAGTTTTCAGAAGCATATTATTTCAGAAGTAGATTACCAGTCTTGCTTCTTAATCTCTTTTAGTCTGGAACCTCCATTGAAATTTATCTACAATTTGTGACCTTGCTGGCATTTGAAAAACCAGTGGCATAGCTTTCAGCATCACAGCAGCACACAAGTCATCACAGTACAGCAAACAGACAGACAAGTGTCGTGTCCATACGATCAAGTTACAAAGGGCCAGTCCTTAGAAAAAGACATCACGCTGGTAGAGGTAGAGCATCAGTGAAAGAGAAGAAGCCCTTCAACAAGATGAATTGACACAGTGAATATACAACAATTGGTTTCAGCCTGGGAGAGATGTGAGGAGGCACAGGATAAGTGAAAGTGCAGATCTGTTGTTCATAAGGTCACTCTGAGTTCTGGTTGACATGATGACACCTAACAACAGCAACCACAATATAAAGTGACAGAGTCATAGAGGCAGAGTTATTAAAATCAACTGCTCTTCAAAAAGTCTGCGATTGAAACCCCCTAACAGCTCTGGAAGATAGTAGTAGCAGTCTGATTTGTAAAGATTTACAACCTCGGAAACCTTACGAAACAAGCCTATACTGTCCTAACAGGTTTCTATAACTTAAACCACACAAAACGACAGCAATGAATTTGGTTTCATTTTATACAAACATCCTATCCTTTTAAATGCATAGTCTAGTGATTTTGACAAATGCACGCAGAATTTTTTTTTTTTAAATACGAATCTAACTGGTTTTGTGAGGAGAAGTGGAAGCAGGTGAATGTCACAGTAGAGAACTAGTCTTTGTATATTTTCTCCTTCCTCCAGGTTTATAAGAATTTAAATGAAATTGTAGTGTAATAATGGAGATGAAAGTGTCAGAGTTGAGTTTTCTCTTTGGTTCAGTCACGAAACACAGCTTTGGACACAGAACTTCATGAAGGTATGCGAGCATATAAATTATCTGCTGATCCTCTCAAGTGTCATCTTCCCAAGAGAGCAGTTGGCAATTACAAGTGTATTATTCACTTACTCCTCATTAATTTCTGGCCCTGGAAAGATTCTACGATGCTTTGGGCTATCTGTAAGAAAAAAAATGTTCTTGGACACTAAGTCAAGCCTTTCAAGAAGGTGTTTGTTTATGTGTGGCCATGCGGAAGAGGCTTCCTTTTCATGTACTTCCTTATTTACTATATCCATATTCTCAACAAACTCATTGCCATCGAGTTAAACTGATTCATAGAAGACAGTCCAGCAGATCCTCCAGCTGTTCTGAGGGAGAAAGCTGGACAATGTTCTCCTATGTGATTTATGTTGTTGTTAAATGTCATTGAGTCGTAGGCGACTCATATCGACCATATGAACGAAAGCCCTGAACATTTGTATAACTCTCATCATTTCTCCATGTTCATAGGGTTTCCGGAGGCAAGCTATTTTGGAAGTGGATGCCACTCCTGCTTCCAAGCTTGTTTTAATTGGGGAGCACCACCAAACACTGTCTACCACTGGGTAACCATTATTGCGTTTGACACATCAGTGTGGTAGTGTTCAGTGTCACAGCAACCACAAGTTACCTCTGTACAGCAAATGGACAGACCAACGCTATACCACTTAGAAGAATGTTTGACCAAACTCTATGGTGGCTCAGCTGAGTCAATTCCAACTTTGCGGCAATGAGTAAGAATTAAGATATACAGACTCTTTGTGTTTTTTAACTAATAGTTAATTTACTATCTATCTTTCTATATAGACACATACTTTTATGTCTTGTTTATCTTAGAAATTATACTTCTAATGATGACATTAGGAGACCTGTTTGCATAGTGTGCAACATAGAAGGATATGAATGGAAAGATGCGTGGTTTGATAGTGAGAAAGTTGAGTGGTCTCTTCCTGTAATGATTTACATCCTCAGAAACCCAGTGAGGATCTGTAGGGTTCAGAAGTAACTCAAGAATATGAGTTTAGATTTTTAGAATGACTATACTTGTCCCTCCTTGTGGATGTTAAAGTGAAAGTTTGCAAGATTATCCTGTTGTGAAGAAACACTGTTCCTTTCTTCTGAGTATTCTCAATATCAATAATTTTTTAAAAAAATGATAGACTAATAAAAGACTAAATTGCCAATAAAGAGAAGTTTGGAAGTACTTATTCCTTGGGAGTCTGCAGAAGAGGAGTCGTTTGAGAGAATAACAAATTACTGTGAAAGCCAGAATTTTGGATGGTTTGATTCTTCTATGGTTCTCTTTTATTTCTTTTTCTTCCAGGGAAAAATATTTCTTCTTGGACTTTTTATCACCAGTAACACACAGATGGAGAACAGCAGGAACGTGACTGAATTCATTTTATTAGGTCTTACACAGAATCCGAAGCTGCAGAAATTGGTGTTTGTGGTATTTTTGCTGTTGTACGTGGTAACACTCTCAGGCAATCTACTTATTGTGGTTACTATTACTAAAAGTCAGGCTCTGAGCTCCCCTATGTATTTCTTCTTGAGCCAACTTTCATTGATAGACACAATATATACTTCTTCTTCAGCTCCTAAACTGATTGTGGACTCCTTGCATGAGAAGAAGATTATTTCCTTTATTGGGTGTATGGCCCAAGTCTATGCAGAACACATCTTTGGTGCTACTGAGATCATCCTGCTGACAGTGATGGCCTACGACCGCTACGTGGCCATCTGTAAACCCTTGCACTACCCCACCATCATGAACCAAAAGCTGTGCATTCTCCTAGTGGGACTGGCCTGGACTGGAGGCTTTCTCCACGCAACAATTCAGATCCTCTTTACGGTCTGGCTGCCCTTCTGCGGCCCCAACGTCATAGACCACTTTATGTGTGACTTGTATCCTTTGTTGGAACTTGTCTGCATGGACACTCATACCCTAGGTCTCTTTGTAGCTGCCAACAGTGGTTTTATATGCCTGTTAAACTTCCTTCTCTTGATGATCTCCTACGTGGTCATCCTGCGTTCACTGAGGAACCACAGCTTGGAAGGGAGGCGCAAAGCCCTCTCCACCTGTGTCTCTCATATCACAGTTGTCATCTTATTTTTTGTGCCCTGCATATTTGTGTATCTGCGCCCAGTGACCACTCTACCTGTAGATAAAGCTGTGGCCATCTTTTATACGATGGTGGCCCCAATGTTAAATCCCTTAATTTATACCCTCAGAAATAATGAGGTTAAAACTGCCATGAGGAAGCTCTGGAGTAAAAAAGTGACTTCAGTTGATTAAGTGGAATCATTGGGCTTTCTAGGTAGGGGTAACAAAGTCGTTACAGTCCAATCATGTTGATCTATAAGGCAGCTATAGATGTTGACAAGCCTGGAATCTAGAAAATTCCCCTTCTACAACTGGTCACCACATTTCACTGATTACTTTTCAATCAATAATCATTGATTATCTGGATTCTGGAAATATTTAAAAGATGTAAACCTAGAATATCCAATTAATATTAAAATAATGTTATTATGGAAATATTGATATTGGTTATTATTGTTGATTTTTTATGGTATTAATTTGACTTTGACTGTTCTATCAATGTAAATTTTTTCTTATGGGTCTTGTTTTTCATTAGATATGGATTAAATAGTTAAAAAGATACCATTTACAGCATTCCTATAAGCAAGCCTGTAGAAATCTACACATAGCTGATCCTTCGGTGGGTTTTCAGAGGTAGTAAATCACACAAGGTTAGGTCTACCTAAGCTTTCCCCCTCCTTTTCAATAAAAGCATCAAATTAAAGGGTAGAGAGGGTCAGGACCAAGGGAGTGTCCATTGTCACAGTGTGAATATGACCACTTCCTTGAAATAGGATGCATTCTTATATCATTGGATCAGAAACTAAAGGCCACAAATTCATAATTGGCTGAAAGCCAGTAGAAGAGTTAATAACCAGATATACAGAAGTAAGAATTTGTCAGTGATAGATCCATAGAGATGTGCAGGGTTACATGATTGGTCAAAAAAGGTCCATGTCATTTAGTTTACTAGATAGTAGTCTCAGAACTATCTGGTGGATTAGTGGTAAGAAATTGTGTTGCCAACCCAAAGGCACACAGATTGAATTCGCTGCTGGCTCTGAGGGAGAAAGATGGACGATATCCTCCTAAGCCTCAGAAATCTTACTGGAGGATCAGCCATGGGTCAGGTTTGACTCAACGGTGTACAATAACAAGAGGCAGAATGAACAGGGGACTGCGGTGGCTAATGATAAAGAGATGTCCTTCTACCAGCAACAAAGTCACATGCTTCCAGTCCCGAAGCTGTTCTGAAGGAGAAAGATGGGCCGTCTCCTCTCGAGCAATTTGCTGCCTCTGGAAAGCCCCAGAGAGTCAGCTAGGAGTCAGGTCCGACTCCATGGTACAAAATAACAACAGCAAGATACAAATGAGGACATGATATGATTTCTAACTCTATAATCTTCTCACTATAAAGTCCAAGTAAGCATTTCCTCTTCGTATTGATAGTAAAGAGCTGCCATGATTTGTTTTGTTTGTTCATGCACAAAGCTTTAGAGTAAAAAAGATATGAGAAGTTCTGATTTATAAAAATGATTTTGTATGATCTTTTGTGACTATTTTATAAAATTCTACAATATTTTACATACTTCGTTGTATGATGTTAGTTACAACACCCACATTTTAATTGTACTTTTCCTATTTCTTCTCTGTAACTCTGATTTTCACTAATCCTTCTGTTCCACCTTTTTTTAAAATTTTTTTAAATTTTAATTTAGTTTGCTTATTTTTTATTTCAATGAACATCTACAGAGATTTTGGAATTCCATTCATTCATTGTTGCACCCTTC